CTCACCAGTATTTTGTGCCCTTCCCCCACCTCTCTGCTGATTGCATCTTAGATTTTCCCTGCCTTTACAAAATTTCCGATGCCTCAGATTGTGAGACAGTGGGTCTTTGCCAATTAGTAAACCTTTGCCACTAATTCATCACTACATTTGGGGCAAAGAAAGGAGGGAAGTGGAACAGTTTTAAATTTACCGTGATCTTTGAGACAGCTTTATGTACGTCTGGGAATTGCTGTTAGACAATTAAGGTTAGGAAAGCTCATTGAATCTCTCAGAGGAAAGGTGTTATTTGAATTATTACCAGATAATTATTGTTAAAAATAACAATAATGTAAAAAATAGGAACTTCACATGTTAGAGACATTATCATTTTAATTTCCAGTGAGGGGTACAAGAGCCCTGGGGGATATAGGAACAATTTTTTTTTTCTTCACATTGTGCTCTATGCCAGAAACTCCTTGAATTCTGTCTAATGCCTGATGACCTGACAACCTGGCCCAGAATCAGAAGCCAGTCGTGCCGTGTGAGCTGTTAGCCAAGTTATTCAGCTTCAATTGCTCCTTCGAAAACAGTAGGAAGGCAAGTGTCAGACATAAGACTTGTGGTACCCAGACCAGTGTCATCAGTATCACCTGGGAATTTTCTAGAAATGCAGAATCACAGACTCCATCCCAGACATGCTGAATCAGAAATCCTGCATGATTCATTTGTTCGTTAGAGCCTGAGAAGACCGATAAAAGATGTTTTCATCTTCAAACAGAAAGGAGTTAGGAAGGAGCTCTACTTACTGATTCTGAAAGAGTTCCTTCACCTGAGGTCTGTGCTCACAGTCTGAATCATCATGGAAATAGCATAAGCCTCTTTCTTGTGCTGAGGTCACAGTGGGAACTAGAAATGTGTCATGCTGTGTTGGAGCAGTTGTTGAATGGTAAGAAAAAAAAAAAACAAAAAACAAAACCAATCCCCTCCCAGACTTAAAGTCAGAGAGATCTGGCTCAGATCTGACCTTGAATTCTGACCTCACTATGGATTCTTGAGCTCTCTTAGTCTTCCTTTTCCTCATCTGTAAAATGGGCACACCAATACCTCTAGCACCAGCACGACATTGCTATGAGATTTCAGTGAGAATGTATTTACATTCTCATATAAAAATTCCCCTGTGGAGTCCCCGACAAAATGCAGCTATCTAACAAATGGTAGTTTTGTGGTTACTATTACCTTTTCCATAAGCTTTAAAAAATTTGGTGTGATTTCCGAAGAATGGAAAGAGCCACACTGAAATGAGACCTCCACAGAAAAGTCCTTGCAGTGATGTGTGGCAGTGTGTTACATAACAGCTCTGCTCTCTGAGGGCTTCCAAGAGAGAGCTGCAGAGACGTCAACATTAAAACAGACTGGATTGGAAGTGACCCACTGTCTCCTCTGCCTCTGACACCATCAAGAGTGTTGCCAGCTGGGATCCAAGAGCAGATTCTTTATTACATGATGATGTAAGAGGCAGAGAGAACAGCTGGCTTTCCAGACTCTGGGAAGAATGTGTAGCCCCAGCAGCCTCTCAGAATTATCTTTTCATTTAAAAACTGTGTACATTGGGTATGGAAGTCATTGCAATAGAATAAATACGAAGCCGCATGAAGTCATTTTCACGGAGTCTTTTTTAGAGCATACACACCCTTTAAGCAATAAAACATGACACACTAGGCAGTAGTTCTGATTAATAGACCCCTAGGTGTGTGCTGAGGCAGGCGGGGAAGTAAGGAGAGGGGGAGAGGTGACCGTTTGCCAAAAAATGAAAGGCAGATTACAGCAGCGGGATGTGGGGCTGGGAAGGAGTTTGATTAAAGGGCAGAAAGATTATGTCTCCATTTAATTATAAAATGCGCAATTTAAACCAAATGTTAGGCATATTTAAAATGTACACTTCTCTAATTACACAATGGATTTGTATGCTTCCAGGTGATTTTTCATTGCAAGGTACTAGACATATTGGTCAGCGATACCCTTTATCATTTTAATGGAGTTGCCAGGGGGAGAAAAGAGAAGGAAGCTGTGTCTGCTGAGGTGTCCATAACCTGTCCAGCCATAGGACGGTGTAGTAAGAACTATATAGAGAGAGCTCTTGAGCCCCGTTTGCTGTTTATGTGGCCACTGGGGTGTTCCTGTTGAATGGATGTCTCAGTGCATAGCATGGTTCCCCACACTGGCCAGAAAGAATCTGATTGATAGTACCAAGCTTTTCGTCTGGTGAGTAACAATAAGGAAGTACTCGCCTGGGAGAGGCAGATGAAGTCTTACAGCACTGGAGGCTAACACGTAAGAGCTGAGCTTTTCTGGCCAAGTAAACACTATGGAGAGTCCCTGGAAACGTTGCCATTATCCCCATGTTTTCTGGGGCGGGGTGGGGGGGCATGGTTCATCTTTGGGTGAGAGGAAAGGATTCTGTTTGAGGGTGAGGCTAGAAAGGAGATTAAACAATGAGTACTTCTATCCTGAGAGAAAAAGAAGGGAATAAAGTTGGGAGACTTGGGAGCACTCGTCTGGACATTTCCACAAATAAATTGGTGATACAGTGAAAGAAAACTCTGTGAAAATTTAAACAAACTTATAGGATCAATCCCATGCAGAGCTAGGTGGAGAAGACGCATGGCTGTGGGTTGCCTCATAGCCGCATCACCAATGGCCTCAGTTTCCACGAGGTCAGAATTTAACCATAAAATTACTGTGGCATGTTCTCCCCAAGAACTTTAGCTGCACCCACTGCTTTTTTAAAGCGTGAGAGATTCCTTCATCCCGGTTTTCACCCTTAGTTTGTCACCCTGGTGGCATTTGCAATATTGTCGTATTGTTTCTGCTGATGGTGTTAGAAAGGTTGATTCCTTGTTCTTTAAATCCCCCCCCATTTTCTGACATTATTTATCTATAAAAGGTTAATTGTTATTTCGGTGTACTGAAATGAATCAGTGAAACAAACTTCTTTATCTTTTGGAACCCAGTGTATCCTTGTTGGCTGTGCATCCCGTGAACCCCTCACTCTCTCTGGTCTGGTGACTGTGGATGATCTGCTGGGCCTGTTGGTGCCGAGCAAGCACTGACAGATATTTAAAGATCTGTGACCTTTTCTATCAGGTATTGCTGCTCGGCCAGGAGCAAGGATGTGGCCTTGAGCGAGTCAGTTCCCTTAATCTCATCTGAAGAATGAGAGGCGATGAGCTTTCAGGTCTTTCCAATTCAGTCTCGTTTCCATGACTCTAAGCAAGAATCTTGATTCCTTTTAACTTTAGTTCAGCAGACCTCAGCCAAGTGCAAATCTCTGCGCAAGGCATTGCCTACTGTAGGGCAGTAAAACTTGTCTCTGCTTCCTAGGAGCTTGTAGGGGGCAGGGCACATTACACAAACAATTATCAGAGTCCACAGAACATGCAAAGGGAGTAGGGCAGAAAGTGCTTAAGGACTCAGCTAGGGCGCTTCCCTTGGGGCGAGGCTTCCTAAGCGAGGTGGCATTTGGATGGGAAGGAGTGGGACTTCACTGCAGTGTGGGATGGGCTGTAAAGAGGGAAAATTAGACTGGGTCTGTATTGTAGGGGCCTTGAATGCCAAACTGAGAAATCGGAATTTAGTCCAGTAGGCAAAGAGCAAAGGAATGATATGTTTAGAGTGGTACTTAAGAAAAATTAGTGTGGTATTGGTGTGAAGGATGGGCTAAAGGTAAAAAAGAACCTGGAAGAACGGAAGCCATTGGAAGGCTCTCACAAAAGTCCTGGCACAGGTGACTAAAGGATAAATGGGTGCTGGGAGAGAAAGGAAGCACAGCCTCCAGTGTCTTAGCAGCTGATTGGATATGAGAAGCAAAAGAAAAGGAGGGACTGAAAATGACTCCTCCATTGTAGGACCAAGTAACTGGGTGAAGACGGCAGGAAATCGACCATGGCAGGAAATGGGAACATATTTTGAGGGAGAGACAAAGATTTCTGTCTTAAACTTTCTGAATTAGAAGCGTCTGTGTGGTATTTGATGGAGGTATGACCTTCTCAGAGTTAAAGGCCCTATCTTATTCATCTTTTCCAGGTGCCTGATAGATACTATGCAAACACTGAATGAATGAATCAATGAATGAATGAATGAGCAAATAAGTGAATAAACCGATAACCAGAGGTTATTAAGATGTGGATGTGGAGCTCTGCAGACAAGCAGGAACTAAAGATAGCCACGTGGGTGTTCTCTATGGAGAAGTAATTGTTGAGGTCATGCAGGGTGGGTGTAGGCAAAGATTGAGTCTTGAGGAATATCTACATTTATGGAACGGGAGAATGAAGATGAGCCAGTAAAGGAGGCAGAGGAGAGAGTCAACTGGTGGAAGGAAAGTCAGGATGATGTGGGGTTCCAGGGAGAAGGGAGGACAGTTTCAGGACTAATGTGGTCATCGGTGTGGGGGCTCGGTGTAGCCAAAAGGGCAAGGTCTGGGTAAGGACCTCTGGGTGCGAGGCTGGAGACAGACAGAGGTCAGTCCTGCAGCCCCTAAGGCTGAGCACCATGTGTTAGAGGACAGGGGAGATGGCAGAGGCTTCATAGTGAGGGGCCGAGGTGCGACAGGAGCTCAGAACGTGGCCAGGTCCATGGTGCTTTCAGAGCAGGTAAGAACTGGGCAGAAGAGCAGGAGAAGCACCAGCAGAGTCGAGAACACCAGCAGAAGCATCGGCTGTGACAAGGTTGAAGGACAATGCCCCCTACCCCCACCCTCCACCTTGGCCTCCATCTTCCCACCACAAAATCCACTCCGTCGTCCACACATGCAGGGTGCTGTGGAAGGTCTCAGACCACCCCGCCGTCAGGTGGGCATGCTGAGAAGGGAGACTGGGTGACATCCTCTCTTCTGGCCGGCCGCTGTCTGGTGCAAAGGGGCAGGACCCGACTCTTCCCCCAGGTCCCACGGTTCTGTCTCCATCAGTGTGACTGACCACCATCACCTGTCATTTAACGGCCTTTTTCTTCCCTGTCTGCTCTAGATGCAGCCGCTCTCTGTTCCCTGCCCCAATGAACATCTGCACTAGGCCCAAGCCTTGGAGTGATTTACCTGAAGAGTGACACCATTTATTTGGAAACTACTGTGAGTACATTATGCCTCCAATGAAAGCCTTCTTAACTCACTTAGTTTAATTAAAAAAAATAAAACAAAACAAAACAAAAAAACACCTCACACAATTGTAAATGCAGATGCAGAAGAGTAAATGAAACAAGATGGGATTGGGAAGGAGACAAACCATAAGTGACTCTTAATCTCACAAAACAAACTGAGGGTTGATGGGGGGAGGGGGTTGGGAGAGGGGGGGTGGGGTTATGGACATTGGGGAGGGTATGTGCTATGGTGAGTGCTGTGAAGTGTGTAAACCTGGCGATTCACAGACCTGTACCCCTGGGGATAAAAATATATTATATGTTTATAAAAAAAATAAATAAATAAAATAAAATTTAAAAAAAAATAAATGCAGATGCAATTCTAGATGGCCTTGTGTCTTGACCACAGCGAGGTCACAAGGCTCAGTGCTGAGGTGCCCGCAGTGGTCCTCAGCTGCCAGCCGGCAGCTCCGCCCTGAGCAGCAACGTGCCCTCCTCGCCAGATGGCCGCGTGGGCCAGATCTGGGCCCACCTCACGGGGCCCAGCACTGTTCTGCTTCATTGTCTGCACCCTCACCGGAAGTGGTGGCAGCTCCCACCCTCCTCTCTTGGCCCCTTGTCACCTTCTGTGCCACTCTATTGAATCTCACCGCAACTTGTCATTTCATGCCACCCTGCCCAGGTCCAGGGGCCAAGCTTTCCTCCTTGGCATCTGCCTGTTGTCTGAGTTGCATCTCTGAGCCAATGCTGTTGCCTCCTTGCTACTTTGAGGGGCCAAGCTTCCCTGGGGACTCCGGGCCGCATCTCTCACCCATTGCTTCCAGCTCCGCCCTGCCCTCTGGATGCACGGCTCTGTGCATGTGGTTCAGTTCCCTCTGTGCCCGGCATTTATGTCAGAGAAGTACAGCCCTTACGAGGCAAGGTGCACAAATAGGTTGGAATAGGAGGCATGATGTCTACATGACAATACTTATGAGAGACTGATATCATGTATTCATTAACCATTGCTAAAAGTAACAAATGAAGAGATGCTTTTTTTTCTTTTATGCAAAAGCCAGAAAGTTAAATTATTTAGAGGCTATGCATGCAAAATAACTTCATTATACATTTTAAGACAAAACCTCGTTCTAGTTGTAGTCTCAAGTTTTCCTATATACGGTATGAGGCGGGTCATGGGGTGGTTTTTATAGACCTCTCTGTTACTGGAAAACGCTAACCCTGGGAGAGAACCATCCCTATTAGGCTTTTGGGTAGGATTTTCACATTCGTATTTTCCGTGTCTTTAGCTATTCGGGCATAAATCATACCCAAAGGGAATGTTTTGTTTTGCATTGCTGTTCTCCTTTAATGCTTTTAGTCACCTGCATTGTAATCAGTGGCAGTGGGGAGATGGGGACCACCAGAGTAATCTGCAGTACTACTGGGTTCAAGGGACTGGGGACTAAAGACACGATGGAAGATCAAAAATAGTTTCTCCATACCCAGGCAAGGAACTTGCTTGTGTAGACACCATCATTCATCCTCAAGTTGAAGTGCATGGAGGGGCTTAGACATTCCCATGTCTGGATGGTTTTCTGGGTTTCTCTGCATTATGTGCAGCTAGGCTGGGGGCAAGTAGCACAGCTGAGCTAGGGTGCAGGAAGGGTTCCCAGGGTCTGTAGCCTCTGGAAGAGGGAAGAGTCTTTACTGCCCCTACCTTCCTGCAGAGAACTGAAATCCAGACCCAGGAATCAGGACCTACAGTTTCCTGAAAATCATGGAGAGGCCCACCAGTGAGCATCTGTTTCAGCCCTAGGAAGCATTTAACCTGTTCCCAACCCCAGGGCCTGCTTTCAGGCTCCACAGGTCCTACCAAGGACAGACAGGGCTCTAAAGGTTGTAGGCTCTGCTTTTCAGAAAATCAGCCCTCTCCTATATAAAGAAGAAACAACAGTAAAGTTTCCACACTTGCTAAGTACAAAACCAGTAAGGCGAATAAACTATAAAAATGTGGACTAATTACGCAAATGTTTCCTTCCTGTGTGTTAGCAGTGCCCCGGACCTGGTCTCAAGGCTTAGGGATGGGAAGGGAGGGGACAAGCATTAGATTTTAAAACCTACCGGCTCCCACATCACTTACACAACTGTGCTCAGCAGCCCTTCCTACTTAATCTGGATAGTTGTGATAATTAAATGAGATAATATGCATACAATGTCTGGCATAGCAGAAGTGAATATATTTACTTGAACAACTGAAATTCACTGGGCATATTCCTCTGTGTCAGACACTGTTCTGGGGACTAGGGATGTGGCAGCTAACAAAACACACAAAAATCCCTGCTCTCACAGAGCCCACCTTCAGCTTTCTTCCCCCATAAACGGCAAATAGACAAAATAGGTACATAGATGCTAAGAGAACTAACTTCACTTCATTTTGCCCTGTCTTGCTTTCCAGAACATAAATTGAGAGGGGAGGGTGAAGGAAATGGAGAAGGGAAAGAAGAGGTCCACTGATTCGTCTCCCCTCTACACAAACACAAAACCCTGAAGCCCTTCTCTGCCCTGATATGTGGCCCAGGAGGCCAGCCTCTCTGGACTGCACTCCTAGGCTCTCTCCCACTCTGGCTCCCCTTTGAATGTGGCCTAGAGGAACATCAGCAAAGGATGTGTGAGTAGGAGGAGAGTGAGGGCAGGCTGTTGATTTGTCCAGCCCCCTTCCTAACTGCAGTTCTGACTGAACTCAGAGAACACCACTCCTTCCTTGCCCCTTGGAGGTAACAGTTGGAAGCTGACTTTCACAGCTTTCCACCGCTGCTAGCCCCAGTGCTTCAGTCTCCCTTGGGCACCCGGCCACCTCCTCTGTACCTCACTATACAGTCCTTACATTAAACTCTCTCCAGCTAAAACCTTGGAGCGTGCCAGCTGTTTCTTGCCAGGATCCTGACGGATACAGCAAGGGAGAAAAACACCAAAACACATTATAAATTGGCCTTGCTGAGAAGGTTAAAAAATTTGAGAGAATAAAATGTTTTAATTACAAAAACATCTTAAATTGATCTGAGAACATTAGACCAAATAGTAAAAGGATAAATTGTGAGGAGAACGTGATAAGCGAGAGTGCCAAAGGTTGGCTTTGACACACAGACCGTAGTCCCAGGTTTGGTGAGCTTCTGCGGCCCAAGTGTATATTGCTTGACCCTCAAGTTCGAGAGAGGTTCTTGGGGTAGCAACAGCAATGACAAACACGTGAATAGAAAGACCGTATCAGGAGGGTGATACGGTAAGATCAGAGTGTCGAAGAAGAGATTGCTTATCCTTACACTCTTTCTGCCTGTGCTACAATGACAGTCCATTTCCCCCTGCTGAAGTCTAGACAATTAAAAAGATCACTAAGGTCGGGGAAGTGGCTCCTTAGAGCTGACAAAAACTGTGGAACTGATGCTCTCTCAGAGTTACCATCATTGAGTACTGGCCCTGCGCCATGGCTCTGCCAGTCAGTTGACATGAATTATTTCATTTACATACCTACCAACTCAGTAATACCTACCAGCCCAAGGAGGTAGGTATAATTACCCCATTATTTCCACTAAGGCCCAGAGAAGCACAGTATTCTGCCTAGGACACACAGCTACTTGATGGTAGAGTTGGGTTCTATTGTGGGGTGGAGGGTTGTTACACCTCTGCTCTCTGCTCCCCCCCCCCACCAAAATACACTCCTGAGCCTTTTCAATATTTTGTTGGGAAAGAGAATAAAGAAGTGGTTACCATTCAAAAAAAAAAAAAAATTGGAGGGGAGGGCATCGTGGATCTAGATTGTCATGATTCAATGACTGAGTAATTATTTATCAAAAGGAGGTTCTGACTAATTCTTTCCTATCCAACAGGCTGATAAGTGGAAGGCATGTTAATGTGCAGGAGAGGCGGGGGGTGGGGGGCAGTGAAGAGAGAAAATTGGGAGAGGGAGATAGAAGAGAGCACTCTCCTCCCAACAGCCCCAGGAGCCTGATAAGAGCTCACACAGATAAAATATTTATTTTCCATATGTTGCAGAAAGCACTGCCATCACTGTATGTGTGCAATATGTGCAAAGAAGTGTGAAATATATACATCAAATGCCACCGATCTGGTTAATTTCCACGCATTTAACATGCCTAATACCTACCATCTCATCAATATGTTTCAATGCATATTTCTTTCCACATGCAATATGTCTAGGAAGGAAGGAGCCAACATCATCCACAACCTCACTCACTGCTATGTTTCAGCCCAAAACTTGTTGCCAGGACCAGCACAATGAGAGTTAAAAACCAGCCACCAGTCACCTTAAAACGCCTTTCCAGTTCTTGAAGCAGCCCTTTTTCTCTCATAAGAGAGATGTTTGCAGTGGGGAGATGAGAATGTTTTTGTTCTCTTCGGACAACTGGGAGATATTCAGGGAGAATGTCAGAACTGACCGTTGAAAGGCAGGTGCCTGGAGCCACACTTTTTTTTTTTTTTTTTTTTTTTTTTGAATGCAGGGCTCCATCAGCGTGGCGGGAGGAAGTGCACAATGATTGGTCTGTTTCTCTGTGGAAATGTTTAGGGTACACCCAGTTTTGCTTTGCATATATTTACGAAACATCTGCCCTTTTCTTGTTCTTAAATCCTTCCCCCTCACCAGCCCCCTTTCCCCTTTCTCCCGGTTTCTTTCTTTGTTGTTGTTGGCTTGTCTAACTTTTTCATTGGAGCTTTCATTTTCCGGTTGAGGGGCGACTTCATCTGAGTGTATAATTTTAACATTGAGGGAGGGAGGGAGAGAGGGAGGTAAGAGAGACAGAGAGAGGGAGAGAGAGAAAGGGAGAGAGAGAATGAGAACTGAAAAGAAAAAAAAAAGAGGCTAAGCGGCCAGAGCTTGGCAAACCAACCTTTGGCATGGTGACCGGGAGGAAGGTTCTGGTCTGGTCGGAGTTTGCCTCTCTGCCGTGCCGCCCGGAGTAGCCTGTGTGCTGCTGCCCTCTAAAGGCTCCGGGGAATAATGCGTAGCCACAGAGGCTTGGACAGACTTGCCCTCAGATGTGCCCTGTTTATGTAATTCTTTTTGCACAACCAAAGAAGGTATTTTCAATTAATTACTACAGGCCTTGCTTTTTCCTCCTTAATAAACTATGAACTGCAAAAACGGGGTCAGCATAACAACACCTGTGCACGTCTAGACAGACTGGGGCTGTGTTTCTGTGTTTCTCAGCACCAGAAAGAGGAGTCCTACAGAAATATCGGAGAGGGTGAGATGGGAAATGATTGATTCTAAGGACAGTCAGTGGCTCTGTGTCATCTGTGTAGTTGGGAAAAGCCCAGTGGTACCAGGATAAGCAAATGAGGGGGTGAGCCAGAAGGTTGATTTTCAATATTTTCATTTTGTGGGGGTGGCTTCCAGTGCGTCTGTATTGTCATAGGTGATCCTTGGGACAACCAGGAGGAGGGTGTGCTGTAAGATGCCGGGTAGGAAGCAGGATCAAATCTAGGGAAGGAAGCAAGGGCATTTATATAAAGAATAGTACCATTTTTGCAGTGTTAAAAGAGTAATGCTGGTTGTTTGGTCATGTACTCATGTCTGAAAGAGAGCTTTTTCAATTTCCTGAAACACAAATCCCAGACTAGCTGAGGCCTTGTCTATAAGCATCAGAAATAAATGTTAAAAAAAAAAAAAGAGAGAGAGAGAGAGAGAGAGAGAAAGAAATAGTTTTTCTGTTAAGTCATATCTACCATTAGTACTTCATCCTGATATTTAACAGACTCATGAGGGCCAGTACAGTTTTGTTGAGCAAAATGGTCCTACTTTTGGGGCGCCTGGATAGCTCAGATGGTTAAGCATCTGCCTTCAGCTCAGGTCCTGGGATCCAGTCCCACATTGGGCTCCCTGCTCAGTGGGGAGTCTGCGTCTCCCTCTCACTCTCCCTTTGTGCTCTCACACACTCTCTCTCTCTCTCTCTCAAATAAAAACAAAACAAAAGAATAGAAAAACGTAATTGGGATTTAGATGATGACTATTCTCTAAATACACCTTTATTTCAATCCCACTTCACTCCATCAACAAACGAATGTTGAATGACAGCTTTGTTGAAGCCACTCTGCTTAACAGTCCTCACTAGAGAACAAATTCTGGGAGGAAAGCAACCAGGCTTGCTGCATTTCCTAACCTATGCCAGCACACTAGAGGTGCATGATGTTTTAAGATAAGATAAATATGTGAATAGATGAATGGTGGGAGGGAAGGAGGAAGGACAGAAAGGATGAACACAGGGAATTAAAAAATAACCAAGACATTTTCTCTCAGAGAATTTACAGTCTCATGAGAGGTATCACCACATAAATAACTATCATTGAAACAATTTAGCAGGTAAAATAGGGAGAAGTAAATTTTGGGGGGGTGGGGAATTTCAGAGAAAGGTGGAACAGAGTTCAGTTTCAGAGAGAGAGAGACCTTCTATCTGGTAGAGGTAAATCAAGACGGTTGCAAGATGGAGACAACCTTTAATAGCAAGAAGGGTAAATATGATTTCCACAGAGTTGTAAAATGGACATTCAAAGCAAGGGAACTAACTTGAACAAAGATGGAGAGCCAAGGATGTAGATACCCCAAGACGTTCTGAGAATTTTCACAAACTTTGAGAGTCCTGTGTGGCCAACACTTATCTAGAGCACATATAGAACTCATTTGGGGTACTGGGCTAACCTGGTTTTCTCAAAGGGGTCAAGGAGGATGGAGAGCCAGTAAATAAACAACAGTCTAAATAAAACTGTTAAGGTGATAGTGGTGAAAATGGAAAGGAAAAACGGATGTGAAAAAATATGAAGGAAACAGAATTGTCAGGACTTGATGAATCGGTTTTAAGACAGGGAAAGCTGTTGCTCACCTGTGGTTTCCACCCTGATGACAAAGCGGGTGATAGACAACAGTGATGGAAATAGGGAGGGGCCTGGGGGGGGCACTGATTTCCAAGGATAAAAAAGCAGTTGAGCTTTGGAGACTTTAGTCTGGTATATAATCCAGGGCCTTGTAGACAGGTCCCTGATCCTGTCCCTATACACATTCAAGACTTGGGGGTCAGTTCCATAGTCACCCAACCAACAAACAGTTGGTAAAGCATTGCAATTTGTTGCTTCTCTTATATTGGCCTACTCCATACTGAAAAATGTGTCTGAAAGCTTCCCCCTCTCTCTTCATCTTTACCATGCCATCTCTGCCTCCTGCCCTCTGAAAAAGCAGATTTGATTTCACAACCTGTTGGACCAGAAACACAGCATGCTAATCACAGCACCATATTCTGTGAGGGCAGATTTAACTACCCCGTACCACAAATTCCGATACAAAATACTCTTTATGAAAAGTCCCTTGCCAGGCTTATAGAAACAAGAAAAACATGGAAACAAAAAAACTTAAAACAAGTTCTGTTGCACGCATAGTCTTCCACCAAAAAATAAAATAATTCCTCTGGTCACCATCTACATAATGATAGAAGGAGGCACAGAGCTAAGGAAATTAGAGGGCATGTTCAGGGTATGACTAATAACCCAGTTTGGCTAGGACCTAGGGTACATGCAGTGTAAGCTAAGTAGTTCTGTGTTTATGTCCATTTTATCATCCCAGAGGGGGAGGACACCAGAGCCGACCCATACCTGAGCTCTTCTGTTTCCTATTCTGAATTCCAAGCAGCAGTGGGCAATAATTACTCTCTAGTTTCCTTCACCCGTCTCTTCCTCCCACCCCAAACACACAGTCACACTCCCATACTCCAGAGTCATGTCCTAAATCAACAAACAAAGAGAATCTTCAGCTTTGGATGAGTAAAGATTTGGAATAGAGGATCTCCGTGTGATACCTTAACTGCTCTACCTGCTAGAAGCTAAGCTCATCTTTTCACTTTTCATTTGCTACTTTAACAAAACCTCCATCACTGCTCTCTCATCTATATAGCCTGCAAACTTAGATTGTGATTGGAAGGTATGTGTTCATCTAAAGTAAAATGTAACAACAGCGAGCAAGTTGAATGTTTCATAATGTGTTCCATGAATAGAAGCTTCAAGCTGGAAGGAACCTTTAAGGCCTTCTAATCCAAGCCCTTTATTTTACAGATGAGGAAACTGAAGCCCAGAGAGGTGAAGTGAGGTGCCCAAGGCCACACAGCAAGTTAGAGGCACAGCTAGTACCATAGCTCAAGTCTCCTGACTCCCAGTCCAGTGCTCCTCCCATTACTCCACGGGTCCTGTCTCTAAGCTTCCTGACAAATGCTAGAACGGTAAACCTCCACTAGTATTTTTCCAGACCATGTTAAAACTCTTAAGGGGGAAAAAAGGATGCTTTCTTGGATAATGTCAGCCATACGTAGCTCAATCTGTCTAAAGTTCTGGGACAGGGTCTTTTTATGCAGCCAACAGAGTCCAAATGTGGTGCTGTTTGCTTGGCCCATATGCTTTCATGTGTTCCCAGTTAGGCCATTACTGGAGGGAAAAAAACAAGAATCAGCTTGTTTTAAAACAAGGGACATACTGGACTCCCTCCCATCCCCCCTCAGAAAAAAAAAAATCAAGTTATCTTTAACAGATTCTAAAAATGCCTTTTCCCAAATATGCAGTCAGTTCCTTCAAAGGGCCCTTTGTTTATTTTCAGGAAGAAACCCAAGACAGCTGAAAACCAGAAGGCATCTGAGGAGAATGAGATTACTCAGCCGGGTGGATCCAGCGCCAAGCCGGGCCTTCCCTGCCTGAACTTTGAAGCTGTTTTGTCTCCAGACCCAGCCCTCATCCACTCAACACATTCACTGACAAACTCTCACGCTCACACCGGGTCATCTGATTGTGAGTACACCAGTAAGGTGATGGTGTCTTCATGGCCCTGGGAGCGTGCTTCTCCCCTGGGTTCTGGCTTTTTCTTGCGTTTCGAATGAGCCGTTTCCGTGTGGTCTTGTAGAGTAGCCGAAGGGAACTTGCCTCCATCTTGATTCAGCCAACGTCGCTGTTTTCAAAGCCAGAGTGTGTTTTAAAACCAGGTGTCCGGCCACTTGGCCTCGAAAGGCTGATTCATTACATGAACCACATTTTCTTTCAAAACATTCACTCAAAAAAAAAAAAAAAAAAGTTGGGTTATTGTTTTCTAATTATTCTTTTGTCCCCGCGATCTGAATAACAGCACTTCCACCATGACTAAACTGAACCACCAAATATGGACCTCGAAAAGCCAGTAGACACAGGAAACATCCATTTTGAAATTACATAATACAAGTCAGCTTTGCATTAATTATTGGAGTCTCATTTGGCTTGGCTGAATTTCCGTCCTTCCAGTTTTTAATTTATTTTGAAGTGGTTAAAGGATAGCATAAATTTACAGAAGAAAAGAGAATGGCTTCCAAGAATTCAGAATCCACCCAGACTTCACGTAGCCAATAAGAATTCAGGTTAAAAATATTTTTTAATTAAAAAACTGCCTACAGGCTAAATTTGGAAATGGGCAGCTTAATGAGATCGTCGCCATTGAAATCACTCCATTGCTGTTTATTTTTGCTGTCTTCCCACCAATCTGGGAGTCACTTCTTCAAATTCTATTTTAAGAAAGTTGATAAATCATGTTTTGGAGCTTTTCTCTCTTTGAAGTGTAACCCAATACTTCAAAGAGAAAGGAACATGTGTGGTGACAATGGAAAAGAATGGAATAATTTTGGGGTCTGATCTGAAAAAAATATTCCTTTTGGTCTTAAGATACCCAACAAGTATTCTGAACTGCCCTCCACACAGGATGTCTAGTAACAGGCAAAGAGCTGGCATGTCCTTCTTTAGGAGGAAGAATAAGACCAAGACAGTCTTGTTTTCAAAAAAGGACTGCGTTTATCCTGTCCATGAACACAAGCATTATTAATTAGGAAACGAGAGTCTAAATCTCCTGTTGTTATTTTTCTGACAAAACAAATGTAAAACTCTGCAAAGAGGGCAAGATGTGCCCATGTCTGGAAGATTCCATTCCCTACTTACTTCATCATCCTAGTGTCATAGGTAAAGGGACAAAACCCAGGGGTTGATGTTGGGGTGAAAGGAGCTTGTTATTCTTGGTGGCTGGGCTGAATCCCTGCTCCAGGTATCGCTAGAAAATGAAACGAGAAAGAACAGGATCCAACTCTCTAGAGCCTCTGTGATTTGCACTAAGTTGCTGCTTCTGTAGACAACCCTGGGGATCAGGAGCAAGGACTGGGTTCTGTGGACCCATCATAATAGTAACATCCTTGGCCCTTCTTGCCTGGCAGTCTCCAGCCTAATAGTAATTACAGGAAGAATTGGAAAATAGCATGGCACAGTGCCCGTAGGCATGTGTGCACTGCCCCTACCTACCAGGAAGGTGGCCGGTTCCTGCGGAGAAGGGCCTGGAGCTCCTGCACGCGCACCTTCATCGCCTGGCTTTCTGCCACACCTTATGGGGAAGATTACATAGAATGGCCTTAGCCCAGAAATCCCCTGTTGCAGCAAAATGACTGTTTTGCTGAATAGAGAAGGCACCGGGCTTCACTGATTGTACTTTACCATAAGCATCCTCCAGCCAGGTCTTGGCATTCGCCTGGAATACAAGCAAGAAACTGTAGGAGCGTGATAGCTGCCGTACAGCTCAGAAGTGACCCAGAGGGAGCCAGGAGGCCGGAGCTTTCAGTGAGGTATCTGAAAGCTGTTGGAAGGAAAACAGAGCGGGAGGAGACACCTAATCTCCAGCCTCGCAGAAAGTCATTCCGATTTTACCATTAAGATGTGGACATCCTCTCTGTCCTAACCTCTTGTTGAAATCGATTATGCTTTTCTCCAAATCTATTTGGATCGTAGTTTGTCCTGATTTGAGCCTACACTTAGAAGAAAATTGTTTTTAGGAAAGATTCACAGAAATCTGTCCATTTGGAGATTGCTTGAGAGAAGACAGGAAAGAGGTTTATTTTAAGCTGTTAAATTTTTTGGATGCTCTTCTTGCATTCAAGAAGATTTTTTTTTTTTTAACTTTCAAATGTCATTCTTACCATAGATTAATTTAAAAGCCTAATTTCTTTAAGGTAAAATATTCTGTTCCTATTTAGAACTAACAGATTTGGGGCATTTAAAAATAGTGCCCTTGACTTGTTAGTCTCTTTAACTTCAGAAACATTCCACCAGTGTGTGGTGTTCCAAGCTTTCACAAGTGCCTGAATTTTTATAGCACCTTTTTATTTGTTATGTGTTTAGCAAAATTATTCTTAGTCATGCTCTAATGCCCATTTCCTGTCAGTCATTATAATTCTTCCCAATTTACGGATGAGAAGACTGAGAAAAGTGACACTTCTGTCAATGAATGACTTGCCCTGGTAGTTAACTCATTCAGATACTGAGGGATGTTTATGGATTTGCTCTCCCTGTGAGCAGCCTGATCCTCTGTTCCAAGCCCATAAACGGCATTCTTGAAAATGTGCAACCATCATATTGGTGACTGAGTTCTAAAACACAGTCGATCAGCATCCCCACAAGAGTCAGCTCTGCCTATGAGCCAGTGAGAGTGGGTAAGACGTAGTGTTGTCGCATCTGAAGGACGCAGGCCCATGTTTTAGACAAGTCTGACCCCTAAGATTTCAGCTGGCTACTTAACCTGCCCAGCGACTTCAAATTTTGCAAAAGATCCCAGTAATATCCAAACCAAGAAGGACTAGGGTTGAGAAAAGCTTCCCTTGTGAGATGGTGAGGTTAATATCTCCGTGGCGCGCCCACTGACAGTGACCTCTTAGCAACATCCCCCCATGACCTCCTTGCTTGTGGCCTCTTCACCTTTCCTAAAAACCCGGTGGTAAATGGACTCCGATGATGAGAACTCACGGCACTGGGATGAGTTGCGGGAGGCAGAGGGTACAAAAGCCCTAGGTGTTTGACAGACCGGTCCCCGCCGAGGGAACAGGCTGAGGAAGAGCTGAGCCAAGCTCTCTCTGCTCAGACGCGTGAACAGGCCCAACCCAAGTCAGCAGAGCAGATGAAGCCGTCCCTAGCTTGACAACTGCCAAGCTGTGGCACGTCACCGTCATGTGCATGCGACAGACTCGACCAGAGCGACGACTCGCGTGCTTCTTCCATTTTGTTTCCCCCCAGATAAGGCCCCGCCAAAGGGAGAAGCGATTCTCCCCGCCATGGCAGTGCTCCCGACTTTTGGCCCTAGACCCACCTATTCTGATGTCGTTGGTGGGAAGCTGATGTCCCTGGTGACTTACCTTCCGGTGTTTCGCGCTGGCCTCAGCAGGCTGTCTCATATTTCGGGTCCTTGCCAAGAGGCACTTATGCGTTAACAGTTTTTATTTATTTTTAATTTAACCTTTACACATTACCAAACTGTTGTGTGGGTGGGTTTAACTTTAGCTCCGTAGGTAGCATGACTCTGCTGGGGCTGAGCACTGTCTGAAGAGACTGCGGGCCCTTCCTTTCCCTCTCTGGCCTTCCACCTTCAGTGGTCTTCCCCCTCCCAGCCCTTCGCTTCTCCCCGCCCCTCCCCGAACCCCCATCACCAGGCCAAGTGCCCGAGATTAAAATTTTTAGTACGCTTGGTTCAGTTTGAACTTCTAAGCAATTTTTTTTTTTTAAGAGAACAAAACAAAGAGGATTTTTTATGGCCAACTCCATTAATGCCACATTAAGGCTGACATTTTAATTACCCCAAAGTCAGGAAATGCAAAGTTCAGGTTCCCACAGCAACAGAAACTGTCCCCTTGAGTGCCCACACCATAGCAGATTCTTTCTTTCCTGATTACACAACACTAGGCGTGGGGACATTGTTTGGTCTCCACATATGTGGACAGGAGCATGGTTTTTACCCTTTGTCTCTCTCCTGTAACTACAGTTGAGGATATGGGTCTTTAGCTTCCCTCCCCAGACCATCTATACATATTATCCTGGAGCGGAAGCCTGTTATGGCCCTACATGTGCACACGGACAGAATTAAAGTTGCCGTGGGAACATTAACTCTGATTTCCGGACTTCCGTGCCAGTCACATTTAAACCATAATGTTGTAATTTTTGGCATGTAATAAATGTGCATTTCATGTACACAGACAGAAAGAAGCATAAAATGTATTTTAAAGAGCAATTAATTACTAACTTTGTGATTAAAAAACATTTGGTGCATGTTCCTTCCCATTTAGCATCAGCTGCTGGTCTTAGCCAGGCCTAATAGATGACATACTGTGTCTCATCCTGTATTTCAGATGTACTTACTGTATGTTCCTGTTCTTCGAGATAATTAATTCCCTTAGTAAAGCTGTAGGGGGAAAACAAAATGGAAGGAATATGCAAGCATGTAAATAGGGTAAAGGATATTTTGAAGGAAATGATTCATTTCTGCAAATAAACCCCTTAGTCCCTGAAAAAGAGCCAGAAATCTGCTAAGTGGGTGTAGACAAAGGTTTCTGGCCACCTTAGAGCATCTGGTCCAGGACTATAGGAACAACTTGAAAGCAAATTTCCCCCTGAATTCCGGGCATGCCCGGGGTGGGGGGGTGAGTTTACGCTGTAATAATTTTGCAGGCTTCGGGCTTAAGAAGTTATTTTACTCTGTCTCCACTGTTCGGTTTACATCCAAACTGGAAAAGAAACGGTGTAGGGAATCGGGCAAAACATGGGGTTCGCGGCAGAGCCCGATTTAGAGCGTAGTGTTGTCTCTTCCTGGATTTGAATCTGATTGGCCCGTTTGTGTCGGAGAAGGACGTGTTTCAAAATAAACGTCTGAACAAGTTTGTGAGTAAAAGGAGTGGGTAGCGAGACGCTGAAGGTACAAGTGTCTAAAATCACAAATGCTTGGGCGCGACGGGAAGCTGGGTAAG